GGTCAAGGTAAGCGTGTATCTGGCTGCTGAGCAGCAGGGCACGGAACGACCGGTTAAGCCGAGGTAAGCATGTTGTTGGCGAGAGCGGGACATGGAAGACCAGAGGTCGAAGAAGCATGTTTTAGGCTTGAGCAGGGCATGGAAAGGCTGGATATTGAGAGGAGTATGGTAAAGGTAAGCGTGTCGCTGGCTAAAAGAGCAGGACATGGATTGGCCGGTAAGCCGAGGTAAGCGTGCTCGGGTGAAAGCGAAGGCTTGAGCCGAGCATGGAAAGGCATGGAGGTTTGTGTCCAAGCTGGGCGACCAGCGGAATGTGGTCAGCCTGGTTCTTATTATGGATTCTTTAGTAGGCTCAAGGGCCGGGAGGGAGGGGGAGAGTTCCACCTCCAAGACCCGGCCTTTGCGCGGCGACACAATAATAAAAATGGCATTTTCGGGAAGTGAGAGACAAAACACGATGTTGCTTCTCACTTTGACGAAAATGCCAGAATGAGAAAATGGATCAACGGCCGCGTTAGACGAACACACAGGCATGTCACAGCACCGGTATCACACACAGGCTGCCCTATTTCTTCTGAGATCATCATGATACTGGTCTAGTCAGGATCTTGTTGAACATACCGAGTCTCGGGTGTAGACCCGAAGAGATGCGTGCGTGAGCTCTACACCGTCGGGCATTTCTTTCCATGTTTTGCTCATCCGTTGAGTATTCCCTCGAGGAAGTAATTCAAAAATACTCCATTTATACTTAGGCGGGTCCATATATCGTCCGGAAATGCAGTTCAAAGTCCTAATTCGGATATAAACAGATTCTTGAAAGATCAGGAATAACACTTTCCCGCCTGGACATTTTCGATTTCACGTTTCAATACGGTCATTCATATGTTTGGAAATGATTACCATTATTGATAGGATGGCGCGTTTGGTTTTTGCGGATGACAATGCACACCACACGGACACAACCATCGATTGCGCAGCAAGTACTGGTCGCAGCGAGCTCCCAAGGGCTCCGAATAACCCTCGGAGCACTGTGCTGCCATCCCAGCCGTTTATATGTGGTTGCCGTATTGGCAGTTGCGCTCAAAGCAAAAAATTGGCCAGCTGACACACACACCGCTAACTCAGACCCCCAAAAGAGACGCGGAATCATCCCAACACACACTTTTCTCGAACAGTCAGTGCGGTAGCTGTTCTTTCCTTCTGATCATTTCGTTTTCTTTTGCCGAGTGGTTTGAACCATGCGAGGACTGTACCAACACCTCAAGAGATCAGTGGGCCTCAGCGGGAGACAAGCGAGGGGACAGCAGTTCGTCGCGGATGAGAACGGCGTGTTGCTCCGGAACAGGAACGACATCCTCCAGCGGTGGGTGAGGTTCTTCAGCACCCTACTCAACACCAAATCTCCCACCCTGAACCCACACATCATCGAACGAGTGACGCAGCGGCCAGCGACACGTGACACTCAA